CTAAAATCTCATCATCCTCTTTGTGATTGGCTCTGTCAGTGGCTCTATTTCCCGGGGCAGCTGTGTCCAGCTTACAGCTGCTTAGTCTTTCTTTCACTGCCCCGTCCAAGGTCTCTTAAAATTTACTCTTTGTTAATCTTAAATTTTACTGCTCTCATTAGCCCTCCTAGATTTCTGTTATCTCGGAAGCTTTTTTTTTAACTCTTCCAAAGTTCCTGCCTGCACTGTCCCTGAAACTGCCTAAATAACCCTAATTTGCCCTAGGACTCATTAATCCATAAATGTGTGGGTTCCTCAGCTCTTAATTCTGTTCCACCGATATGTTTGTTTTTTGGTTCTGGTTTTGTTTTTTTTTAAAGATTGTTTTATTTATGCATACAATAGCTGGAGTACAGGCCAGAGTGTGGGAAGTGAGAGGATTCACCAGACAGAGTAGGGAGCAGAACAGGCAGAGTGACTGAAATACACTGCTGAGGGGAGCAGCAGGCAAGTCAGGAGAGGTCTGCTGTGCTATGTGGGTAGCTCCCTGCCTGGGGATTGAACTCGCCCTGCAGAGGCTAGAGACAGCTTCACAGAGTTGCGCTCAACCCCTTGAGCCACCAGGGAGGCTCCTGTGTTTATTTTTATAACAATAAAATGCTATTTTGATTACTGTAACTTTGTAGTATAGTTTGAAGTCAAGGAGCTTGTTATCTCTATTTTTGTACTATTTCCTGAGGATTATTTTGGCTATTTGAGGATATTTGTAGTTCCAATAAATTTTAGTTTTGTTTGTTCTATATGTATGAAGGATGCCATTGAGATTTTGACGGGGATTACATTGAATCAGTTTGCTTTAGATAATACGGTATTTTAATTATGTTAATTCTTCAAAATGATGAGAAAGGAATTTCTAGTTTGATCTCTGAACCTAAGCTGGGTGGAGCAAGGTTAGTACTTGGATGGGAAACCACGTAGATATACGTGGTTTAAACCATATACGATTTGTCACTGGTTATTAGTACAAAGAGAACAGTTTTATTGACATAAAATAAGAATACTTAATTTTGTTGTTCTGGAGGAATTATGCAGAGAGAAAAGCAGTATTTGTCTTTGTTTACAAAGGTGTATTTTACAAAATTGTTTCAGATAGTATAAAAGAAAAGGCTTAGTATATGAGAAAAGGCTTTTTTAAAAATTCAGTTGTTTTTATGATCTTAAACTGACTAAAAACCTACATTTGCCAAAGTTCCCTCCATGAAATTTTTTTTAAAGACTTATTTTTATTTATGCATACAAGGACTGCAGTGCAGGCCAGAAGTGCAGGGGATGAAAGCATTAACCAGAGATAGAGTGGGGAGCAGGCAGATTGACTGAAATACACTGCTGAGGGGAGCAGAAGGCAAGACGGGAGAGGTCACCTCCCACACAGGGGATAGAACTCCTATTGCAGTGGCTGCTGATAGCTTGGTAGTGCTGAGACTTAACCCCTTGAGCCACCAGGGAAGCCCCCTCTCCATGAATTTTTAAAGATAAAACACATTAGTAAAAGAGTAAAGCAGAATTGTCCATGAATAATGAAATAATGAAAATGCCCATGGTTAAAGACTTGACAAGAGCAGATTGTCATTCTAATTATTTTGTTCATGTAATTCTAGACTAAGTTTTTCATTCAATTTAGAATATCAAATAAGTCTACTATGTTCAATATTTCTTTTATAGAAAAGGAGAACATATCTTACATGATTTGGAAAAAAATTTCCTAATAACTAAGACAAAAAGATGTTATTATAATTTTTTTTCTAATCAGTATGTCAAAAGTTTTAAGGGTTTGAGACACTTAAATAAGATCAGATTATGAGACAATATTTAATTATTCATTTAATCAAAAGATTTCAAAGGCATATATAGAAGTGCCACATAGTTTTATGCAAATCTTAGCTCCAGTTTTAGTTAACTAGGCTTACTTAAAGATCCAAAGATAAAGATAAATATTAAGTAAAAATTTTGTTTGACAGGTAATTGCTAAAAGGTAATGAAAAACCTTTATCAGGAGTTTGAGTGTTAAAAAAAAGTTTTGTCCTTTTAATTGGGACAAAAGCAAGTCAAAGAAATCTATTTTAATCTTAGACTGTTTGATCATACATAATATACTTCAATTTTTTAAATCCATAATTTGCTAGTTTCACTTAGCTTTTGTTCATTTTTTTTTCCACAGACCAACTGTTTTACTTGAAAATAAATTACACTTTTTTCTTCCTTTAAAAGCAAAAGAAAGGCCATATTCTTTATGATCATACCTAAATCTATTCATTTTCCTTGTTTCTCCTTTTCTACTTTTCCAAACACTCATTTTTCTCACTCTTAATAAAACATTTCTATTCCTTATGTTTTCAGTAAGAATCTTATTTTCCTTGTATACATACTTTCCTTATTTTCATTAGTTTTATATACACTAGACCTTTTAATTCTTAAAAACTAAATTTCTAGTGAAAAATTAAAAATTGTGGATTGTCTACTATATTCATATTCTGTGGATTGGCAGACGTCATAAAACTTGTAATTTTGGAAGTATACTTTTCCTCATAGTAAATTTCCCAATGTGGCACAAATATTTCTGATGTCTTAAGTTTTTTAGTAATGATAAAACAAAAGAGTAAACTTAGGTTCACTAATTAATGATTTACCATCAATTTTATTTGGAGATAGTCTAGACTTTCAATGAAATCTCGTAACTTAGCAAAACTCCAAAGTCTAGGTTACCAAATAGTTGAGAGTGATTAAAAACTATTGCTGGCATGTTAATTTAGACTTTTTAAAAAGATTTATTTATTTATACAAGCACTGGGTACAGTCAGAAATGTGTGAGGGTAAGAGAATTCACCAGAGCCAGAGTGGGGAGCAGAACAGGCAGACTAACAAAATACACTGCTGAAGGGAGCAGCAGGTGCGGCAGGAGAGGTCTGTTGCACCATGTGGGACCCTCGCTGGCGGCCGGGGATTGAACCAGCACTGCAGAGGCTGAGGGCAGCTTCGCAGCCTAGCACTCAACCACTGCACCATCAGGGAAGGCCCTAATTTAGATTTTTTGTTACATTTATATTTACCTACACTATTTACTTCCATTATGTAGATTAACTATTAAAATGTAGGTCATATTAATCAATTATTATTTTAATCTATATTTCTTGTTAGAGAACATGAATTATTTTGATTAATAAACCCATCCAGGTGGAATAAAAATATTACACTTAATGTTAATTGTAAAGACATCCCTGTTTGAATTAACTCAATCTAAGCTTATTTTCATTACCAAAAGTTATCCCGAATTATATTAACTTGAAAAGATTTGGGTTAGTTTCTATCACTTTTCTAATGTTTAGAAATAATCTCTATAAAAATTTATAAATCAAAACCCATTTTACAAATTACCTTGGGTAACACCATCTGGGCAAAGAAAATAACAAATATATGTGAGGCACAAAAACATATAAACATCAAATGAGACATAAACAGATCTTATGACTTTCATTTAATTATTTTTACGTCATGAGTCAGGTGAAATGCAAAAGCTCATTTATAAGAACAGACTCAAATTTTGTCTCTGGCAATTGGAAAAGTTCAGATGAGCGCCTCGATGACTAAGCTTAATATTTGAGGAGAGACATCAGTATTTTTGTATTTGTGCTCAGTGGGTTTTGGCAAGGGAACCTGATAGCTGCTTTGATTAAATAGGGCTTATTTTTTTATTCTTGTCTCCTTAAAGTTTGCATTTTAAGGGAGACCTTGAACTGCTCTTAGAATTTCATTTTCTGATCTTGCAGAGGTTTATAAGGTAAAAATTCCTATCAGCCTAAAGAGAGTAGTTGCAACAAAGACTTTAAATAAGGTAACTATAACTGGGAGGAGACAAGGGAATGTGGATGGAGCACGTCGAAAAGGTGAACAGTAGATCTGCCCGTTCTGCTCCCCACTCTCTAGTGAATCCTCTCACCCCCACTCCTGCACCTTTGGCTTACACCCCAGTCCTTGTATGCATAAATAAATCTTTAAAAAAAAAAAAAAAAGAAAGAAAAGCCACTATCTCAAGTTTAGATAGGTGTAAAGTAAACAATTTTCCAGGTAAATGCATGCCAAAAGAAATCCTAGGAAATAAACTAAAATTCAGGGCAAAAAATATCTGCTATACTCAGGAACTTTTTCTTTTCTTTTTTTGTTACGATAATCTCTGCTTTTTTCCCCCATTTTTTTTATTTTATATATTTTTTACATTTTTCATTTTTGCACAATGTATGCATTTTCATCTTGGTTATAGTCCCCATACAATTCCCACACCCCTTGGAACTTTTTCTTAACTGCAGAAATATAACATGTGACAGACTGTTATTAACAGTCCAAGGAATCATACTTCCTGCTATCTGTACCTTTATGTAATCCCCTCTCACACACTCTCTAGACTTAACCAGGTCTAGACTTAACCAGGTCACTCTCTAGACTGACTTTGTTCATTGGAAGATGAACAAGCCTCATGCAAGCAAAGGCTTGATAAGCTCTGGCGTATTAGGCTTGCTCTTTTGGAATGTTTTCTCTGTCATGGAAATAAGCCCAATCTAGTCTACCAGAGGATGAAAGGGCATGTAGAACAGAAATTTCTAATCAAGATCATTGAATCATGAAAAATTAAGACATTCTTGTTTCAGACCACCAAATATTAGGGTGCTCTGTAGTGCAGCAATGGAGAAAAGCTATACTTTGTGGAACTTCATCATGTCTCTGTCTGCAAGGCAGCAAATGCATAAAAGTGAAAGAAAGTTATATACTTAATTAGAAAAAAAACACATAGGTTTTTCAGTAAACTTTAACAACATTAGACCAGCTGTACCCCCGCTGTATTTCCCCCCTTCCTCAGCTATTTGGTCCATTTAAATAAATATTACAAGATTCAACAAGTAGTTAACAAGACTGTTATCCTATACATTCTGTAGGTATAGCATGTAGAACCTGTATCAATGAACAAAGAGTACACGAGAAATATTTTTATTTTTAAACATTGAATTGTACATTTCATATAAAAGATGGGAGTCTAATCTGTTTTTAAAAATTAATTATACATGCTAATGCTATCTTTACATTTTTTTTTTACAGAAGCCAATGTTCTCTAAATTTACAGCTTCATTCCACAGCTTTTATAAAATCATAATCTCTTACATATATTTCTAAATCCCTTTAAAAAATAAATTCATACAAGATGTTTTTATTTAACACATTAAAACTTAATTGATTATAACTGCCCAGCTTTCCAGCTTCCACTGAATATTTTTCCAGTATAGAGAAGCCAGTAAGTTGAGTAATTAATTCTCTGTATTTACCTTTATTAAAAAGAGGTTTTTGGTAGTGAGAACAAATAATCTCTCATTTGTTGCTTGAAAGCCTAAAATAGGATCATTGGTTTCTATGCTAGCTACTTGCTGCTTAGCAACCTGCCCTATTTGTCTGCCTTCCTTTCTGTTGTAAAGTACAGTGGACATGGGGGTGGGCTGACGATAGATGAATACTCGACGGAGACACTCACAAAGGGCTGCATAAGAGTGATTTGGAGCACAGGCAAAAAATTTTTTGTCTCTCTTGGATGCTTGAACGTAACCTGCCAAGAAATGAGAAAAACTACATATTAAACAGGAAGAGAAAAATTGGAACTTAACATAGAATATTTCTTAACTTATTACAAATAAATATGCCTAAATATATATACATTTTCTTAATACTCAACATTGGTTGAATTCTCTCGCAACTGGTGCAAAAATACAGCCTTAATACCCAATGAGCAAAATTGATACAGTTTCCTACGTTTGAGAAAACTGAGTTCCATGTAATTAAGTGAATAATTAAAACACTAAAAATATAAACATGCCAAGCTATCTTTATATTGCCAATATAATAACTAGGCTTATCAATCACAGGTGTGGCATTGCAGAATCTTTATTTTCTTATCAAAGAGAAAAATGTTTACAGGATATCATTATAATGCAGCCACTTCCCTAAAAGTACTAATAAAGCCAGTACATTCTCTTAATAATTCTATTTTAGTGATATTTTTATACGCCAACACTAACACTGTAACAGTTCTGTTGTACTTCAGCTCCCAGAAGTAGAACCTTAAGACCACTGAAAGCTCAAAAGAAAGTTCAGGTATCTAATTTAAAACTTAATTAGGACAGGGCCTCCCTGGTGACGCAGCAGTTGAGCGCTGGGTTGCAAGAATGCCTGCAGCCTCTGCAGCGCCGGTTCGATCCCTGGCCGCCGGACAAGGGTCCCACATGGCGCGCAGACCTCTCCTACCTCTCCTGCTCCCCTCAGCAGTGTACTTCGGTCCTTCTGCCTGTTCTGCTCCCTGCTCTGGCTCTGGTGAATTCTCCCACCCTCCCGCGCTTCTGACTGTACCCAGTGCTTGTATAAATAAATAAATAAATCTAAAAAAAAAATTAAAAAAACTTAATTAGGACATCCCTTAAAATTTAATAATTCTTAAAAAGATAAAATTTTTCTAAGTTTATCTTTAAAGATTAAAAGGGCACTTATGTTTTAAAATATAAATTAGGACTTTCAGATTGGGACAATATTACTGAATGTAACAACATGAAATAAAAACTGTAACAGTGATGTGAATTGAGGTTTTGTCAGACAATGAATGCGCAAACCAACCACAAGTAGATCAATACTGGTTTTTTAACACAAAGCAAGTTTGGAGGAAAAAAAAAGATGAGGTAGATACCTATTTGAGGAGTTTACAAAGAGCTCTCTAGGCTAACTTTGACAAAACAACATATATAGTATTTCAAGACTACAATATCTAATGTAATGTTGATTTAAGTTTTCCTCCTACTGTAAAAAAAGGGTAAAGAATTTTAAAAATAGGCATGCAGTGGAGATGTTAGATATTATGCAGTTAAATTTTGATCAAACACTATTATTTTCACTCATAAATATTCACTTGGACTTTGAATTAACCAGCTTAACAATCTATATTATTGACTATATAAGAATTTTCTCCCACACAATACTAACATATTTTGACAATCAATTATTGTATAAATCTATAATTATGTAGCTTAAAAATTTCAAGCCCTAGTTTTAAAACTGGCATTTTCCCTTTTATCCTTCAATGTAAATTTCATTTCTGCTTATCCCCATTTTCCCTAAGTATTTTTATTATAATGGTTCTCTTTTGCACTTAAGTTTCATGGAAAATGGCTCCTAATGTTCATTACCGTAAAGCAGTGAAATTTCTCTGAAGAAACCTGAATACAAGTTACACGTAGGTATTATCAAGTCCCTTGTTCATATTCTAATACCAGACAGCTTAACTGGAATAAGCAAATGACTGATTAAAATGACCAAAGTGGCTAGATAATCACTGATTTATATTCTATGTTGATCTGCTGTACCAGCATAAAAACAGATTAATCCTACTATTTCAAATTACCAACATTCATTAGCAATAGCAAAAGCACAAATCAACCCAAATGTAATTAAGATGGCTCAGATTTTAAAAAAGCAAAAAGAAACCTTAAGAAATATATAACATATTGGGAAAAAATTATATATTGGAAAAAGCCACCAAAAAGCTTGCTTTCTACCTAAAGCATTGAAAGTTGCTATGTGTTCCCACATGTCGTCTTGTTTGCTGGAGTGTGGCTGCCAGAGGAGGGCATCAACATCATGGCGCAGACAGAAGCAGGGCATTTCTTTAGGATCCACTATGACAGAGAAGAGGTACTGGTTGCTTCCAAGATTCACCTAAAATAAAAGCGACAAAAATCTTAATTCAACAACAAATTAATAAAGAAGATGACAACACCACAAATTACTATGTCAGCAACTATTCTAATTTTTTTTATTTCTACCCATAATGTTTGGTTATTTATCAAAAGAAATTATTCCAGAGTTCAAATATTAATGTTTCATAGTTCAGGAACACAAGTCAGTGATAAACTTCCATGGAAGTCAAGCCAACGAAATCCTTTGTTTCAAGATCACTTTTCACTCTGAAAGATACCAGCCTTCCTCTTCTCCTTAAAGTCTTTCATGGGATCTTAATTTCCATGGAAATCTGCATCTACCTCCCTTCTTGGTTCAGCCACAGCAAACTTACAACACTAGAAGTCATAGTAGGAGACTCCACGGAATGTTCTACACTGAAGGAGAAAATAGTGCTCGAACTGCTGTTCTAAACTTTTATATACCTAATTTGAATGACTCTTCCATAATGCTCTTGGGAGAAATGTGCCATTAAGTCCATTTTAAAGCTGAGAAAAGTGATATACAGGATTTTTAATTTGCCAAAGGTCAGCCTGGTAATTAGTCATAGGGTTGCAATTTGAACCCTAAGTCCTGTTCTTAACCAATCTACTAACCTCTCAACTGTTAGTAGCTAGTTTAAACCATAATATAAGACACCAATTATGTAAGTAGAATATTATTTAAGCCACAGAATACAAATATCATGTTTACAAATGCTAACTAATTGCCAAGAACAATAGCTACAAGTATTTATAGGCATATTCTATATGCCAAGCATGTTATAAATACTAATCTCAATGATTAGAAAACTGTTAAATGTCTGTTAAATGTCTTTTAAGAGGTGAAAGAACAGACTTGAAGAGCTTGAGTAGCTTGTTCAAGCTACACACAAAAAATTGCAGTGGGATTCAAACTCAGACCTATTTTTTTTTTTAAAGATTTACTTATGCATAGAAGAACTGGGGTGTAGACCAGAGGCGTAGAGGGTGAGCGGGTTCACCAGAGACAGGGGGGGGGGAGACGGGACAGGTGGATCTATTGAAATACACTGCTAAGGGGAGTGGCAGGCAAGACAGGAGAGGTCTGCTATGCCATGTGGGTCACCTCCCTGGCCAGGGATTGAACTCAGGCTGAGACTTTACCCCTGTGCCACCATGGAGGTCCCCAGATCTGTCTATTTACACATTTACTTTGGTATACTATGTAACAATTAACAGTATCAATGTCAAGACTGCTGTGTTACAGGCATTGCTATACTCATCACTTCTCATTTTAACACAAAATTAACAAGGTGAGACTCATAAGTGGATCCCATCCACTACAGTACTATATTTCGTGGAGACTGTTTACAATGATATGGTTTTAATTTTGTGGTTTTATCTGTTTTCTTGCTCAATTTTTTGTGTATTCCTTTTCTTTGATCTCAATATGAGAGTGCCTTTCAAATTGAGGGAGTGTCTAATGTTTGCAAACACTTTTAGCTTCTGTTAGTCTGAGAAGGTCTTTATTACCTGGCTTTTGCTGCATCCACTAAGTGTTGCTATGTTGTACTTTCCATTTTCAATATATTTTTTAATTTCTCTTATATTTCTTCTTTGACTCATTACTTTTTCAGTAACAAAGTTATTTCACAGATATGTGAATCCTGCAGTTTTTCCCCTTATAATTTTGATTTCTAGTTTCATGTCATTGTGGGTCAGAGAAGATGACTGACATTACAGTATTTTTACACATATGTAGACTTGTTTTGTAGCCTAACATATGATCTATCCCAGAGAATGTTACATAGTGTTTGAGAAGAATCGTTGCTTTGGAAGTGCTGTTCTGTATTTATCTGTTAAGTTCATCTGGTCTAATGTGTCATTTAAAGTTGACAGTCACTTACTGATTTTCTGTCTGAATGATCCAATCATTTTTGAACATAAGTATTACTTTTAACTACTATTATAGCATTGCCATTATTGTTCCCCTTATGTCAGTAATATTTGTTTTATATATTTAAGATGTCCTATGATCAGTGCACTGATATTTACAAATACTTGTAATCTATAGGACAACCACTAGACACACACCCTAATATATCAAGATAATGCCAAAGTATACTCCAACCATTAAATCAGAGATTGAAAGAGCACTGGGAAATGCTTAGGTCATAATATTAAACAAGGAAAAACATGAAGTTATACTATAGGATCTTACTATACTGGAAAAAAACACCAAAGAAAACAGTCAAATCAAAGATATCAATATGCAGTTGTATCAAAACAACACTGCTTACTGGCTATGATAGGACAAAAAGTTGCTTCTTTACAGATTGAGATTTATATCCCAGGCAACAACTACTAATGAAGTCATCTTTGCGAAATACATATTTGTCATTTAATCAGCTCACCTGAATAATTTCTATTCACAAATTTTTAGAAATATCATTATCAAGAACTTACCACATGAGTAGTTTTGGATGTAATACCATCAAATCTGCATAAACTGGAGCTCTCCTCAAAGAAAATATCACATTCTTCTAATTCTTGGGCATTACAAGGAGGTTTTTCTTTATCTGGATTTGGATTCTTTGGGGAGGAGGGATGATAAGCAACAATAAGTGAATGGATTTCTTCATTTTTAAAGTTAAGATTATAGCAATAACTAAAAACTAAATTTTAGACCCATGGCCAATTGAAAATTATAATAAAAACAAAAATGAAGGAATGTTGGAATAGTAAAATATTAAAACAGCTATTATAAATGTTCTATAACTTAAAGAATAAAGAAAACATGAACATATGAGATATATGGATGATTAAAAAAAGAATCACAAACGTTTAGATATGAAAAAATACCTGAAATGGAAAACAAAATAGATGACTGATCCTAACTAGGCAGTATAGAAGGAAAGACCAGTGAGCTTGAAATACAACTGAGTCTATATAAAATGAAGCATAGAGAAGACAAAAATAACACACAGGACTGCAGAGACCTGTGGAATAATATCAGTGGTCTAATATGAGTAATTAACTAGAATGGGTCAGGAAGAATGCAAAAATAAGACAGATTTTTTTCAAATTTGATGAGAACTGTAATTGTATAGATTTAAGAAGGTCAAAGAATCCAAACATACAAACATTAAAAATAATCACTGCAAGTCACATAATGAAATTGCTGAGAAATCTTAAAAGTAAAAAAGTCAAACAAATGGAAACCAAAAAAACCGTACAGACCAATGTTCTTTAGAGATGCAAAACTCAACAAAATGTATTAGTGGGCCAAATTCAGTAATATGTAAAAAGGACAACATATCACAACAAGTGGAGTTATTCCACAAATAAAGAAAATGCATTTGACAAAACTATGAAACTTTTCATGATAAATTCTCTAGAGATACTAGAAACAGACATGATAAAAACATCCACTTAATGGTGAAATATACTTTTTTCCAAGATAGGAGAAAAAAGATAATGTTTGCTTTCATCATTTCTATTTAACAGTGCATTCTAACCAATACGGTAGGGCAAGAAAAAAACAATTTGAAAAAAACACCAACCACCTTGCAGAAGTCAAAATTCTGTTTTAGTCAAATGTAACAAATACACTGGTATCTGGGCATAAGTAACTTAAATATAACAATATATTGATTTGAAATCATGTTTAAAAGTCATTTTGCAATAATTACCTGCACTCCCCAAACAAGTCCTATCACTGTTACTATATCTCCAAAGCTCTATCACACTATTTATCTATAATATCACACTATTTATCACACATGATAGCATGGTTTGCAAGCGTACTGTTAAGGTTTTGTAGTCTTATGTGTGAATAGCAGTGATCCCCGAAATTTTCAACTACTGCTAGCAAACAAACTGTTTCTCTGTTTTTATTGTGTTTTCTTTTGACACTTAATATTCTCATTTCTTCTTTCTACCTTAGAATGTAACTTACCCTACAGTATAAATAATTCTTCCATATAGTCTTCCTTATAATAGTTCTAGATGATATTCAGCCAAACATTTCACATATGCTAATATATATGTTCATTCACTTAAGATTATTTAACTGAAATTGTGGTGCATTGCTGTATATGCACAGTCTTAAAATTATTTCATTTCTTAAGTTATCAAACATAGAATATATTCCTCAGAATCTGAGCTGAATGAATATTGTAGTCATTGTAATCATTACCATGAATATACTTTGTCAATCAGAAATAATTGTAGTAGATGTGATATATACCTTGATATTACAAGGTTACCTAGAAAATTTCAGTGATAAGTAGAATTTCATACCATCAAGGCATATCATACAATCAATTTGCGCCAAGGACAGAACTGTCAGTTGATTCTTCTAAGGAATAAAAATAGTCATACACACATGCATAGGTACATACAGACACATGCTCTATACAACATGCCCCCCTCCAAACACACACACATATTCACACAAGTATAAGGAATATTAGAATTTTAAGCCATATACAAACACCAGGCCAGCTAACCTGACTCTTACATTAGAAAAACCTAAGGTAACATATGAAAAACACAGCATAATCCTCACAAAACATACTTCTGGATTCTGGGAAAGTCATACCACTGTTGGACTTGCTTACCAGTTCTTCAGAAGTCAAATGCATCAAACGCTCAGCTATTGCAGCACATTGGGCAGAGTCTCTTATAAGTTCCCCTTGTTTATCACCAACTACTAGCTCTGGCCATGTTAGTCCTTCATTCTTCTTAATCAAAGAAATCTCCAAGCTAGAAGTTTAAATGAGAAAAAATGGTATTAGCAATTATACAAATAATCAATAGCAAACAGAAGAATCTTCCACAGAAATTACCCCTCTGGCATCTAGAGGATGTTTTACCAAAAATCATGTCCAGTTTATTTTAATTTTTTATTGAGGTAAATCATGTTCATTTTAGCTTTGCATGATGGATAACTTATAACCCAAGAGTAAATAATTGAATGAGTAAACAAGAAAGTAACTAGAAATGGTGTGTCAAATTGTCAAATGGCTTGATGAAGGGAGTGACAGGATATAGTAAGACTATCCAGAAAGTACTAAAATTTAGAGGAAAGTACTGAACTAAAGTAACAGAAAGGTAGGCCAGCAGCACTGGAATAGCGGGGCGGTGAATATGGTGGCTGGCTAGGGGTGGACATGTAAAGTTAATCGGAAAACGTCTAAAACTAAAGGTACTTCTTTGTATGTGAAGTCAACAATTACCTTTATTTTCACAAACAGTAGCAATAATATTAATCTAAGGATGAGGCTGGTTAAACCAATGTTAACTTTTAAAATACATATTTTAAAGAAATATGGGAATCAAAAAATTTTAACTTTGGTAATATGGGGGGGAAGCTAATGTGGTCTCTGTGAACTTATTTAAAATCTAATTCGTGGGCCTCCCTGGTGGCGCAAGGGGTTAAGTACCACACTATAAAGCAATCCACAGCCTCTGCAGCACGAGTTCAATCCCTGGCCGGCCAGGGAGAAACCCACATGGTGCAGCAGACCTCTCCTGTCTCGCCTGCTGCTCCCCTCAGCAGTGTATTTCAGTCAGTCTGCCTGTTCTGTTCCCCACTCTGGTGGATCCTCTCACCACCCCGCATCTCTGGCCTGTACCCTAGCTCTTGTATGCACAAATAAATATTAAAAAATATTAAAAATCTAAATCATACATCTAAGTCACCTAACAAATTATAAACACACTAAAAAGTACCTACCAGGGAACCCTGAGATTAAAAATTGACAAACTAAAAAGGGAGGCTAAATCAGGGCAGATTATAGACACAGGAGATTAGGAAGTTGTCCATGTGACTCTTGAACAAGGGAAAACCAAGTTGCTTTGGGAGCTAGTTACAATACAGAAAAAGATTGGGTGGTGGTAGTTGTTCCACAGCAAAGCAATCTTTTAATTTTGTCACCTTTAGTACAAATGTGCCATGATAACCCCGTGCCCTGGAACATAATTGCAAGCAAACAATTGTTCAAACACAGTAACTATTGTCATAATTACCAAATAGATCACTCAAACTTAGCTATTCTTTTTCAAGGTTGTTATCACCAACTCATGAATTAATTACAGCACTTTAAATTTACTGAAACTACTTATTTTAAGAGACTATACAAAATAATCTCTTATGTAACATGAGCTCCAATAATAGCATTACAATTACCACCACAATCAATGCCCAGATTTAGTTATGTCCTTAGGAGAAAGTTAATCTTGATAATAATAATGACAAGGCCTCTAAGTATAATGCTTACCATATGCCCAGTGTGCTGACTGAAGTACTTTACATGCTTTAACTTATTTATTGCTCACCACAACCAAAAAGTAAGTACTATTATCTCCGCTATACAAGTTAAGAGGGAAAAAAAGCACTGAGGGTTTAAGTAACTTGCCAAGGTCACAAGCTAGTAAAGCAGTCTGGTTCCAAGTTCTCGCTCCTTGCTACTGTACTATTCTGCCTTTCTGAGAAAATAAATGTAATAACTATAAAGACTTTTTCTCCAGTGACGAGAATAAATACTGTTCTTAGTAGTTGCTACCTAAATAAGTTAGAAGAGTTCATAAATCAGTTACATGGAATTTCTCAACTATCATAAAGCTGCATACCTAGTCAGTGTACCCCTTTTAGCACAACTGCATTTCTACATTTTAAAACTAGTATAATATACTATCATTTAAGTGAAAAGGAACATAAAAATCCTATACATTTTAAGCTGCAGACTAGTTAACAAATCCTTCCTAAGTGAAAGGGAACATTATTTGAAAATGAGATATGAATAATTTAATCAAGTACAGAGAAAAAGCATGTGTTTTAAACCAATAATACCACCTACACATCACTGTAATTATCTTTTGTAACATAAAATTGCAATCAAATAGCTCAAATTAAATGGAAAACAATACCGGTGCATGTTCATGTATTAAATGCCAAAACTATCTGCATAAGGTCCAGCTATTCTCCTAGACCTTTGGCTGCTTGATGACATATTTAACAACATGTTCTGGCTGGCTTGCCAGTTTATAAATGCCACCCACATCTCTCAGGTACATAAAATGTTTAAATAAGAGTATGTGGAGATATAAAATATTTTTTAAAGAACATTTCAGAGAACTGAATTATTGAAATAATGTATTAAAAAGTAACAGTCACCGGATATCTCCATTAATAAAATGAATTCAGAGTATCTGCTTTAAAGCTTAACCTTTTTTTGAACCAGATATTTACGTTCTAGACTCCCAGAATATAGACACATACCACACTCAAATGGAGTAATCAAGAACTACAGTTAGAGTAAAAATACATAATCTACACATATTTCACCATTTTTAAAATTAATGCCTAGTTCTATTAACACATCACAGAATTTAATAATTACAAAGATTTGATATACTATGAAAAAATAATAGTATTAATCCAAACAGTGGGGAGTGAAGTATCTGACACAATGTATTTCTAAAGAGGCGGGGACAGGATTAGAGTTTCGTAAGACACTTAATTTTTTGACATAGTCCTTTCATTGAGGTGTAAGCTATAGACAAAATAAGATGTAAGTGTAGAATTCACTGAATTTGACAAATATATATACCTGTGTAACCCAATGAAGATAGTAAACCATTCCACAAGTTCCCTTTTCTAGCTCATCTTCCTATATCTAAGAGATAACCATTATTCTCATCTATATCAGTATTAATTAGCTATACCAGTTCCAGAACTCTGTATATGTGGAATCAAACAGTATATGCTTTTGTGTGTCTGGGTTCTTTTACTACACATAATGTCTCTGAGATTCATTCATTCTCTTGTTTCAGTAGTTCATTCTTTTCTTCTACAAAGTAGCATTCCATTAGATGAATATACCATAGTTGTGTTTATCCATTCACCTTTTCATGAACATTTTACTTATTTCCAGTTTTTGGCTTTTAAAAATAAGAACGCTTGAATATACTTCTACTTTTTAATACTTTCATTTCTTTCATATTCTCAATGTCTAGGAGTAGAATTCCTTTGGTTTCAAAGCAGGTGTATGTTTAATTTGTTAAAGTGCTAGTTTGCCAAAGTAAGTGCATCATATTCCATTCCTACCAGCAATGCACAAGTTGTTAGTGATCCACACCCTTGCCAACATAGGATACTGTCAATCTTTACAGTTTTATTATTTTTTTTTTTAAAGATTTATTTACTTTTATACAAGAACCAGGGTACAGGCCAGATGTGTGGGAGGGTGAGAGGATTCACCAGAGACAGCAGGGACCAGAACAGGCAGACTGATGAAATACACTGCTGAGGGGAGCAGCAGGCGAGACAGGAGAGGTCTGTTCACCATGTGGGATTCTTACCGGCCGGCCGGGATCAAACCTGCACCTCAGAGGTTGCGGACAGCTTCACAGGGTGGCACTCAACCGCCTGTGCCACCAGGGAGGCCCCAATCTTTTTAGTTTTAGCCATGCTAAAACTAGTGTCTCATCTAGTTTTAATTTGTATTTTCTTAATGACTAATGATTATTTTTTTATTTTTCATATTTCTTACCAGACATTTCTATATCTTCTATTTTAATACAGCAATTCAAATAATTTAACCACTTTTAAAAATCTACTGGCTAATATTCATTTGTAATAGGATTCCCTGATACATCAAGATATAAATACTTTGATAGAATATAAGGAATATTTTTCCTAAGTCTAGATGTGCCTCTATTTTTCTCTTCTAAAGACATCAGTAAGAAAACAATTTTATGTATAGAAAACTTTTCTTTAGAAGATGAATTTATCATGTGTTTCTTAGTGTATGTGTCCCAAACACACAATTCACAAAAGAAATGTAAACGGATAATTTACATAAGAAAATATTATTCACTATTTTCAGTGTCCCATTCCACTTGCAGGTATTTATTCACATATATTCTTGTGCATGTGAAATTTTTAAATGGTTGTGCATTTGATAAGAGTAAAACAGAATGAACCATAAAAGGTTATTCAAAGTCAATAAAAACTAGTAGCATAACTGTGTATGTTGAAAACCTTTTTGCTAAAAAAATACACTACATGAATATCCATAAAAAAACTAATAGTAAATGTGGAAAGAGAGGTGACTGGAGTCTGAGTCGAAGCAAGACCTTTCACTGTATACCCTCTTATTGATCTTATTTTAAAGACTAGGAATGTGTTGTAGTCAGTAAATTACAATAATTTATACTAGTATCTTTAATCTTCACTAGACTTACATTCTTTCACACAAAAATTCTAGTCTTAGGAAAAATAATCAGCTATACAGATAGCCCTACTATAGTATTCACCTTTGATATTACCACTGTGGGAAGGATAAGAAAAATAATAATGAAAAATAAAATTTTAAATGTAAATTATAAAAATACCTATTATTATTTTTTATTATCCATGTACTGCTTTCATGATCAATAGATGAATAGAGATTTCCTTCCAAAAACCTCTGGTCCTTTACCACAATGTTGATACGATCAGGCAAAAACTGTACTTTAATGTCCTCCTTATTACTATCTTCTGGAAGCCGTATTATTACTGTCAAATCATCTTCAGTCTGTTGCCAATAATACAAAGGTTCTATTGGGAAAAGAAAAAGCATTGTGTAATAAAAAGCGTTGATAATGTGACACACAAAATTAGACTCAAACATCTATCTAAAAGAATTTTATTTATCTTACAAGAAAGTCATTATAAAGAACACACATAGACCTCTTTGGGGAATTTTCACTCAAAGGAGTTAAAGCAGTTTCATTGGACAGGTTGCCCTTCCAGACTAACCCAATATTCAGAGGATAAGAACTCATAAAATACTAGTGACAGTAATTCTTTACCCCCCATTCCTTTTTTCCTTGCCTCTTAGTACCTCTCTCTGTCTTCCCCTTACATACATACACACATATATAGTGGATTCCTATTCAAAAGATTAACAAATGTGTCATAAACCACAGATTGAAACTTACATCATTGCCTTGATTTGTCCATGTGATTTATGCCCTCTGTGATATAGAAGACCACTATTATTTGATGGGATATACATCCACACAAAACAAAAGCTCTATTTTCCTTACAAAGGCATTGGCTAGTCTATCCCATGACTTGTTGCATGAAATCAATTACATTGGAAATTCAAGGGCTATTAGCATATTTGGCTAAACTCCCAGTCAAAAAATCCTTTCTTCACCCTCTCAACCTGTATCCTAAAAAAATCAGTTACTAACAAAACCTACCATACTATAGACTCACCATACTATAACCATGGAATTAAAATATAGGTCATAAATGCAAAATGAATAAACATTTGCATAATGGCACCCATAGGCATTAATCTGTCCTCTTATCAAGAAGGAACATATCATACTAGATTAGGAAGGAATTCTCAAACTGACTAGTCCTGGATCATAGTCCGACCATTCATTAATTTTCATATACATACTTGATCTTTTTTTTTTTAATATATTTTAAAAATTTTTATTTATTTATACAAGAACCAGGGTACAGGCCAGATGCATGGGAGGGTAAGAAGATTCACCAGAGACAGAGCGGGGAACAGAACAGGCAGACTGACGAAACACACTGCTGAAGGGAGCAGTGGGCGAGGCAGGAGCGATCTCCTGCACCATGTGGGACCCTCGCTGGTCGGCCGGGATCGAACAGGCGCTGCAGAGGCTGTGGACAGCTTCACAGCACTGCGCTCAACCACCCACACCAACAGGGGAGGACCCATACTTGAGCTTTTTGAGTAAAAAAAAATTTTGGTATACAACTATATGTCAAGCTTAATTTTTCTAATCTGGAAAATAAGATATTACCAGCCTCTAGGACTACTGGCACTTACAAGACTTAATGCATATTAAAACATACAATCTCAGGCCTGTTACATTGGAAATTCAAGGGCGTTAAAGCAATTTCATTGGACAGGTTCCCCTTCCAAATTCTGTTATCTAAGTATATTATAAACTAAATGTGGGATTTTTTAAAATTTTCCCTCTTAGCAGATACTAGATAGGCTCAAAGACACTGGTGTATCTTCTTGCAGGGTCACTTTTACTTTGTTAAAACATTTAACAAACATGTTATTATAGAACTAAATAAAGAAAAGAAATTTCATAACAGAATTGCTACTCTGAGGTAATTTCTGACTTGCATCACTTTCTTTAAGTAGTCTCTCAGACCTTTTTTTTTCTCTTTTGCCTTTAGAAGTACTTTTAATATAAACTCAAAGAAAATATCTGAACTATAGCTGAAAAAAGGAGCTACAAGCTCCTTAAGGTAATTGGATTTATTCATCTGTCTACCACAAAACTTAACAAGGCAGTTTATAATAATGACTCAATGGATATTTATGCCAGATACAGCAATAGGAGAAGCCTACCAAAAAAAAAAAAAAAAAAAAAAAAATCACAAGAGCTCTTTGTATAAATTAAAAGTCAGATTTTTTAATCCTCTCTTCACTAAATGTATACTATCACCTAAATTATAGTATCAGTTAGTTGCTTTGAGTGCCTCTACATTTTCAATTATGTTTTAGGTCTTACAAAGAAAATGCTATTCTTTATATCATTATGATGATAGTAAATGGGCAATAGACAATATCAGCCTTCTTGAGGTATACAGAAAATAAAACCGGTGTATATTCACAAGAGTATTTAAAAGGGGGCCTCCCCTGGTGGCGCTGTGGTTGAACGCTGGGCAGCAAAGCTGCCCGCAGCCTCTGCAGTGCCGGGTCCCACATGGCACAACAGACCTCTCCTGCCGCCCACTGCTCCCCTCAGCAGTGTACCTTGGTCGATCTGCCTGTTCTGTTCCCCGCTCTGGCTCTGGTGAATCCTGTCACCCTCCCGTGCTTCTGACTATACCCAGTGCTTGTATGTATGTATGTATGTATGTATAAATAAATAAACATAAATAAATAAATGGAAACATTAATGAACTATTCGTATTTTTTAAATTACACTTTTCCCTTCAGCACTGTAGAAATCCTATGACAAAATGAATATGGAATAAATTTTCCAATTAGCTATTAGATACAAGAAATTAAGTGAGAGCTGTTCATTAGAAGAAAAACAGAAAAATGGACAGGATTTGAGGTTTACATCAAAATAGACACAACAATGAATTCAGGAGGAATTCAAAATATAATGTGAGATATCAACAAGAAAAATACCTGGATTGGCAGTTAATGATGTAAACATATGTTGTGTCCCAACTACAACACTGCAATCTCTTGGAGCCACATGTCTTAGGTACTAGGCAAAAAGGTTCCAAGGATTAAGACACTTTTTCATCCCTTTGCAATTACTCATCAAAAGGGGTAGTTCTAAAAGGCATGTGGTCGAGATCTGAACAGCTCTGCTGGCTAAGCTCTAAGAGAGTGTAACACTCTAACGAAGACAAAATAGACCTTTCCTTAAAAAGGGATCTTAGAGATAACCTAACAAAAAACATATCACACAGGAGGAAACCAAGTTGTTAAGAGGCCAAATAAGGGGTCATCAAGCACAACTCTTATATTCTAAGATATGTATATAAGAATAGGGAAAATTTTTTCAAATATTTAATATATTAGTAGTTCAGTATTTTCCAAAAATATTTTTTAGAAAGCTATACTTTAAAAACAAACCATTACAATAATTTGTTCAGTAACATAAAAGGCACAATCATAAAGTACTGTTAAAATCTTAAGTAAAACATGAGCAGTATTCTCTTTAGTATTTTTAAAAGAATGTTTCTCTGTATATTTCTTTTGAAAGACCTTATCACCTTATTACTTGTTTCATTCTAAAGCATACAAAAGTTAAAAACATGAAAACATACCTACCATGAACAGAATTTAGCATATTTGAAGAGTAATAGCTTCAATACTAATATGCTGGATTCACAAATACCAACAAATAGTATTTATTCATTTAATATTAAACATGTTAATCAGTTAAGTTTATAGATTTTTAAACATTTTTGGTGATTACAGAATTATATAAGCAGTTCACCCTATTTAGGTGGTATTACAAAAGAATATCCTGGGAAGTACACATAAATAAAGAAAAATTACATACCTGTAACCTGGTAAAACCTATAACCTACCTGAGAAGACAAACTAGATATGAATATGTATGTACATAAGTACACACAAGTTTTATGAAGACTGGAAGTAAATTTACCTTTGATTTTCTCTGACATGACTTCATCCTTATTTTCTTCAAGATCTTGATCACCTTTTACAAATGTGAAGGACTTGTAGGAGACAACCATCAGACCATTCCCATCAGACTCAATAGCAGCATAATGTGGCACTGACTTGCCACGGAGAATATCACGCTTAATAATTTCATATTTATTTTCTATAAGAAAATATTTGAGAAAAATTACAAAGAAATATGAAAATATTCTGGAAAATACGTATACAAGTTAAATATTCTAATGTTCTTCTAAAAGGCACAGTATTAAATATCTTATGTGAAGAGAAAAAAATTTAGAACTTTCTGTAAAAAAAATTCCTATGTTCATACACTGGGTCTAATGAAATTTGCTCTGGATTGTGCTAATTTGGTAGCTACTAGATATAGGCTGTTTAGGTAAAATTACACAAAACTTGAAACTCAATTCATCAGTTAAACCAACCATATTTCAAGTGCTCAATACCCAAACATGGCCAGCTGCTTTTATGCTGAATGGCACACATATAAAACATGTCCATCTTGCAGAAATTCCTACTCAACAGTACTGCTATAGATCTGGAAAGTGACAAACTGAAATATCAACTTCTGAAGGATCTACCTGTTCCTGAAATACAGCCTGCCTACTTTCCCAGCACATATAGGAATGATAAGCATCTTCTGAAAGAGCCACAAACTGAAGATAAGGGAAAAGTGTGGTGTGAATTGTTTTTCTGCCCATTCTAGCTACTAGAAATGGTTTTTCTTAAAATGAATTGTTTACAGTAATGATTTTCATATACAGAGATAGAGCAGAACTACATGGCTGTCCATAAGCAAATATAAATAAGGGTATATAGAATTAAGATATGAACAACTACATTCTGAAAGTTTCTAGTAAATTAACTGCATTTTTATTCTATGAAAATAGTTTATCTTTTGCTTCAAAAAGTGCCCAAATATTTCAGTTGAATTTATGCCTTTACTTATCTTGTTGCTCTATTCGTGGGTTGTACGTGTAAGCTTCACACTGAGGAATTAAAAATAATGTCATGTAAGTTATGTTAAATCTGTACTAAAATATCTGTCATTTTTACTCTAAATCCTCATCTTTACTTACACGTTCATTTAATACAAATTTAAGATAGAACTAAAAAGCCTTCCTATTTTTCCTTCTAGGGTACATGTAGGACAGTTCTACCTGTCTCTAAAGACCCAAACCTACAAAGTATATATTTTATAGGGTACCTTTTTCCAACATATGTAGAACAGAAATAAAGGGTGGGTTTCAAGTGAATTCTATAATTAAGTTAGACAATTTAATTTTAATACAACATTTCCTAACTCAAAACTTTCAGAAAAGTCAATAAACCTTAATGTGTAATGGGGATATTATGTGCCTACATTTTCAAATTTATTTCACCATTTATTCAGATTTATGTCAAATGTTCTACTCAACATGGTTTAGAAAAACACTAAAAAGTAAATTAAAAAATAGAAAGGAATAACAAATTAGTAGGAGCCAAGACATTAAAAAAAGAAAGATTAAGTAAACCACAGGAAAAATCTATAACTACAACCTTGGGAGAAAACAAAGGGTGAGTCTAAATATATCTGTCCTGTTGAGACAAGGAACCAAAGATGAAGGAACTAGAGCAAAGTGTCACTGTGTTCTGAGGCAATATGATGCTTGAGCTAAAGCTGCCATTGAACCAACTGTTAGAGAAGACAAGGAACATTTCTCCTGTAAGGTACTGCGTTATAAACTTTACTAAAAAATTTAAAGCTATTATCTAAAGCAAAAATCTGCAAACTACACCTGTGAGCCAAAGCTGAATTTATGCCAATTTTTGTATGGCCTGTGAGCAAATAATGAATTTTACATCTTAAATGGCTAAAAAATAAAGAATGTTTAAATACATGCAAAAGTTATATAACATTCAAATTTCAATGTCCATACATAAACTGGAACATAGCTTTCCTCATTCTTTTACAAACTGTCTATGGCTGCTTTTGCACCACAATGACATAGCTGAGCAGTGGTGACACAGATTGCATTGTTACCATGCAGCCCTTTAGGGAGCAAGTTTTCTAGCCCCTAAAGTTTTAAATTACTATGTTCCTCCAGTGATCAACTACAATATTAAGAAAAACAACAAAATTTGTTAAACACTTCAGAGAACAAATCTAGATTTACTCAGCTTTCTTAAAAGCTGGTTTTATACACACACATACTTATATATATATGGATACACACACACACACACACACACACACACTGTCCCTAACTATGTACATATATGTAAACATGTATATATACACACAGAAAGTATGTTCATTGTAAAATAAAAGGGCAGGTCTTCTTAGGAAACAAATTTTAACAACCTTCAACAGATTGTAAACTGGCAGCTATGATAAATTTTTTTCTAGAGATCAGTGGTCATGTGAGCTGTTGAGTTAATTAATTTAATAAAAACTACTGAGAAAAAGAGGAAATTCATCGTGAAAATAAGCTCCATTAATTCTCAACTACAGGAAAAGCCACAGGATGACTCAGTAAAAACTGACCACTGGCAAAGAGCAAAGTTATATCATCAAAGTAATCTTAATTAATAAAGGAAAAAGTAGTTTTTAATGTCCAAGTCAGAAATTTAACAGTTTCAAAGAGACCAAAAGTCAGAATTTTTCCACACATGGAAGCACTCTGGGTAAAAAAAACTTGCAGGTTTCCTGGGGGCCAAAACAAATGGCTAAGTTCAATTCACTTTAAAAGAAATCAGAGGTGTTTTTAAGGAAATAAAGGTATTCATTTCCATATAGGTAGTTATATTTAATTTCTATTTCAATTGCACTGCAATATGAAGTTAATTTGCATTTAGTTTTATATACAAATTCTTCTCTGTGTGTGGATATATGTATGTACAGAAGAATATGTATGTTTCGTATCGTATATTAAATATATACACTAAAATATTCACTTTAAAATTCTTCAAAATTTATGTGGTTCTATCTTTTAATACAAAATGTCATAACTGTAAAAGCACATTATTATTTTTTTCTATAACCTACACCTACAAAGAAGTGATCTACAGATATTCTTGCTATTCGGTTGCAGATACTAAAATCGTAACACAAAGTCCAAGAAAACTCAAACAGCATTTACATAAACAACTTCGCCTTTCAAAACATCCTAAATTATGTCTACTACAGAGATTGAGAATTTTGTTGTTTTACCTTTATTTTTCTTACTGATAGTGACCCACTCCAAAGAAACATAGAAACCACTTCCTTTCATATCCAATTCTTCTTTCTCTATTCGAAGAAGTAGAGTGGCTACTGAATGTTCTTCAGCTTTCAGCAAAGAGATACTATGAATTATGATAAAAGGATTCCCAAGCTCTTCATTAAACATTATCTACAAAAAAAGTTATACACATACAACAAATGTACAAATTATATGAATACATGAGGAAATACATAGAATTCGGACAATCCAACAATCAATTTAAATACTACTTCATACAAGGAATACAAAAATGAAAAAGGTCTAAGTAAAAGGTGCAAATTTAAATAATATTTCTTGAAAAAAATTTTAAAAGTTCTGTTTGTTTAACAAAAAGCTGTTCAGTACTCTTGGCTTAAAAACAAAGAAAATAAAGCACCTAAAAGAGAAAAGGAACTAAAAGCAATCTCCTTGAAAAGAATTCAGTGAAACAGTGCTCAATACAAAGAGAGGACACCAGTAGATCAATTTTCATTCCTCCATCTCTTCCCGAGTCACATGATTTATTTCTGCTTTCTTCCTCTTAAACTCCTGGATAATGTAGTCTCGTATGGTTTCTTCCTATTATTTTTGTTCTGTTTTAGTTTGTTTTTCGGTTTGTCTTCAGGGAGTTTACAAGAGCCAAAGGAACTGTAGAACACATCACTAAAACTCTTATCTCAAAAACAAAGTCCCTTTACATTTAAAGATATAAGAAACAAAAAAACTTACCTCCCATTTTTCAGAATCACTATTTCCACGTTCACCTGTTGCAATGAGATACAATCTCCCAGTTCCATCTGACAAGGCAACCCAGCTAGAAGATGTGAAATGGACAGATGCACAAAGGCGATTGTCATAAGCTGTCAAATCTGTAGGAAGTCGAAATACCTCTCGGGGTTTTCCTAAGGCAGTGTCCTAAAAAAATAAGTCAAATGTTATAAATGAATCCCTCCCTCTTGATCTGTAGTGGTTCCTCTTTAAGAGAATAGAGTAGGTACCTAATTGAGTATGAGCTGTACTACACTCACTTCTAACCAAATACTAAAGAAGGGATGATAATGTGACTTCTCCAATTAGGTAATGAGAGATTTGAAATCTTCTATCTTGCTCTGTCTCTCGGATTGCACATGCTAGGTAGACCTGTATGGGGAGAAACTAAGGGTTCCTGCCAAAACCAGTACCCTGAGGGTGAATCATTTGGGGAATATGTCCTTTACCCTAGCCAAGCCTTCAGATCACTGTAGTACTGGCTGACATTTAACTACAATCACGAGAAATCTGGAAATGGAACCACAAAGCTAAGCCACTCTCTGATTTCTGACCCACAGAAACTGAGAGATGACAAGTATTCACTGTTTTGTTTTTTTTTAAAGATTTATTTATGCATACAAGAGCTGGGGTACAGGCCAGGGATGCGGGGGCTAAGAGGATTCATCAGAGACAGAGTGGGGAACAGAACAGGCAGATTGATGGAATTACACTGCTGAGGGGAGTAGTGGGAGTCAGAAGAGGTCTACTGCACCATGTGGGTTGCTCAATGGCAGACTGGGGATCGAACTCGTGCTGCAGAGGCTGAGGACTGCTTCACAGTATGGTGCTTAGCCCCCCTTGTGCCACCAAGGAGGCCCCAATATTCACTGTTTCAACACAGCTTTCACCTACACCCGCTGCTCCCCTCAGCAGTGTATATTAGATCTGCCTGTTTTGCTCCCCACTCTTGTCTCTGGTGAATCCTTTGCTGGTGAATTCAGCAGAACATTGTGCTGAATTATCCCCCGTACCTCTGGCCTACACTCCAGTTCTTGCACACATAAATAAATAAAAATAAATCTTTAAAAAAAAAATAGAATCCTTGATTTGTGAATTTCATTCAGTACCCCTACAACTATTTATATCATGTACATATTAACAAAATTTAAGTAAACTATGTCCTTAAGGCCTCAAGTTTTCTGTAACACTTCTAAAGCATACAATTTAGTTTTCTTTGAAACATTACCTTTCCTTCAATTTTGTACTCCTATTTTATTGATTTATAAAACAGATAAAATAACTCACCCATAATGCCACTGCTAGAAGATGTCGGGAGCAAGATTATGATCCTGTCTGACCCACCTGGAAAGGTGATGGTCTTCCCTGTATTCTAAACTTTCTTGGGAAGAAATCACTTCCCAAGTGAAATGATAATCTCGTATCTCATTGTGATTTCTAGGTACTGCCCTCCCCAAAATAAAAACCCCACCATGAATGCAACTATTATATTTTCTTCAGGATAATATTTTTTCAGGCTAATATTCATATTTTCTTTAAGCTAATAACATACCGCATTTTATTTATTTTTGAATTTTGTGTGTGTGTGAAGAACAACTAGGGTGTAGGCCAGAGGTGCAGGGGAGTAAAAGGATTCACCAGAGACAGTGCGCAGCAGAACAGGTAGATCTACTGAAATACACCGCTGAGGGGAGCAGCAGGTGAGTCAGGAGAGGCCTGTTGCGCCATGTGGGTTAGCTTCCTGGCCAGGGACCGAACTTAGGCCACAGGGGTGACAGCGCTGAGACTTAACCCCTAGGCCAGCAAGGAGGCCTGTAGAGGAATGATGGCCAAAGTGCAAGTATCTATGAACTGGCAGATGGGTAAAGGAGAGTCTTGGAGCCCTCGGTGGCTTTCTCAGGCTTTTATTGAGCTTTACATGTATTGCAGCAACCAAGTACATGGCAGGCAGGGGTGCCAGGGGGCCAGGAGGCCGGTAGGTCTTCACTCTGGGCTTCTCTGGCTTCTTTTGCCCTTTCTCTCTCCTGCTGCTTCTGCTTCTCTCTTGGTGACTATCTCAATATTCCTCCCACGACCCACAGAAGTAAACAACACAACAATTTAACAACTGCAGGTGGCCCATCAGGCAGGGCAATCGTAATGGTGGGAGGGCAGAAAAATCATTTACCAAACCATTTACCCTATAAGGCCCCATATATAGTATTTTAAATTAGGCTGTTGCATTTAGAAAACAATCCAATAGTTTTAATGTCCACAGGCTGTAGACTAAGTGACCCTGTAAATAAACACTAAATATGTAATATGTAAACTGTATATATTTATGGAAAATACCTCAAAACAAGGAAACCAACAAGCATTTTTCAAATAAATAGACATTTATAGAAAGAAAGATGGAAAAGAAATTCAATAAGGATGTCATTTACTGGTGTTATTAGAAATTGACATTTAAAATTTTGCCCTTTTAAAAGGAAGTAATTTTTTTCCAGAGAAAGGCTATCATCACTAATTATTGGGGGGAGTGGGGAATCTTCTTATTTCCTTCTTTTTTGTTCCTAAAGCTTAAAGATGTTTTAAATTAATTGGAATTTGAGTCATTTGATTTGTAACTTAAAGCTTTCAATAATGAATTAAGTACACACAGTTCTGACAACTTAATCATCCAGTTTTTTTCCTTTAGTTAATTAACGCAACTGTAGACTATAATCTGATATTCATGTCTCAAGGTGATCATAATGGCATACAACTGAACTGGACAACTAAGTACTTGAACCTGTCACTACAAGACACAGTCTTACAAATACTCACAGATGGAATCCATTAATTTTGCTCTGTATCTTTAAGTGCAATTTAAAGAGGTACCGTGAGATGATATCCTTCTACAGTAGCAGAAACTAGTTCAGATAGGAAAAAGTTACGACAGAATTAATTCCCTAAATATTAGGAAATGGAACACATTACTTTAAGCCCATAATACCATAATAAAATGACAATAAAAACTAAATTTTAAACATTTAGTTTAAAATTGTGTTTGGGATTTCTGTTTTTTGCTTTCTTGAAGCATTTTTTATGTCCTGAGCACATTTCCTCCCAATTGACATTTCTCTAAAAGAGGATTGTTAATCCACTAGTTAAACTTGAAAGTACAATGTCTCCTAAAAATCAGTGTTAAGCTGCTGCCATCTGCTGGCAATTTTAGGTAATATCAAAAGGACAACACAATAAATGGATTTTCTTTCTTAAACCTTCACCGTGGTCACATATAGTATTTAGTTAGCCCAGATTTTACAAGGGCAGGCATTTGCAAGCCAGTCACAGGAATCCACATTTTATCAAGCACCTCAGATAATTTTTGCTTGTGGCCCAGTGGCCAATTTTGAGAAATTCTGTACAGAGTACCACACTTTGTTACTCATCTGTAACCCCCTCTCCTAGTCAAGTACAATACAGAATCTTTCCAGTCTTTCTTTTTCACATTTCTCTGCTTCACACAGAATGACATGACTAGTCGTTCCAGCCTCCTTTCAAAAACTGTCCTTGCCATCCTCATCCAGCATAGTCTACATACTACTTAGGCCCTACACAAACTCTGTGTTTCAGGAAACCAATGCAGAGTATCCATAGGGTGTAAAAATGAGTGTGGAAATTTGCCGAATAAGCCTCTTGAGTTGTATGCACACACAGCTGTCCCAATCTTCATAGGAAATTAGCTGATCATTCAAAACTGTTAAGGTGACATATCCTCTGAAATCTTTCCTGAAAATTTCCTCCCTCAACTCTTACCATTTTCCTTTTCTACACTACTTCTGCATTTTATCCCTGTTTCCACTGCTACATGCAATTCATTTGTGTCTGTGGCTATGAAGCACATAGTAGTGGTCTATAAAATGTTGGGGAAAAAAATAAGTATTTCTTATGCATTAAAATTAAATTATTTACTCAATAAACCAAAGATTCACACCTGTACCTAGAGAGGAATAACAACAGAAAGATCTTACCAAGACTGTAAAACCAGAACAAAGTAGAAGACAGTGTCAGAGAAGGTTGCCTGCTTCACGTGAAATGGGAATAGGAAAGCGGTCCAGAGGCACTGGACCCAAAGGCTAATGTGACTTGGGGAAAAAATAGAGGACCACTGGACATTGGAAACAAACACTGACTATGCCACAAGAGACGCTGAGGAAATTCAACTCCATACAACAAAAGAATGGAGTGATGTCTAGAGACAGCAGCCATTGTTTGAGCCTGCAATGCTCCCACATGTGGCTGGCAACAATAGGAAGGAGAGAGTAGATGAGTGCAGAGGCACAGGCTTAAGTGAGGGGAAATAATGAGCAGAGGAGCTTGGATGTCCAGGTAGACCCAGTTCCTCAGTGAAGGATACAGACTCAAAACTGTACTCCGCCTGCCCTACCTCTTTGTGACTTAAGATGATCCTGTAAGGTACAAGAGCATAGTGCCACAGACTGTAGAGACACAGGTCTGGAAACCAAGAGAGGAGAGTTCTCAGCACAAGCCACCCCTTGCATACCACTTTCACTTATGACTGGACCCCACCAAACCCCTCCTTGATCCAACTCAGTAAGTGCAGATTATCTCTCAAAAAGATTCTACAGTTCCATCTGCTGAAAAAGTAGAAATTCTGCACCCTTAGGACATGGAAAAAACAGCAAGCTGGAAAGCTACAAAATAGGCAGCCAGAAAAATAAAAGACATGGCACCTTGAGTCCTGAAGGAAATATTTCACCACTGAGACAAAACAAATCTCCAGAATGTAACAACAAAGACATAGAAGATCTTATCTATCAATTAGTTCAAAATTTCCAAGAGATATGGAAGAAAACAGAGAAAAGCTGATCAAAGATATATGAGAAAATTCAGAAAATGAATAAATGTCCTAAGAAATAAAATAAAGGAAAAGAAGATAGAAAATGAAGCTTTAAATAAGAAAATAATGGTGGGCCTCCCCTGGTGGTGCAGCAGTTGAGCGCTGGGCTGCGAAGCTGCCCACAGCCTCTGCAATGCCGGTTCGATCCCTGGCCACTGGCGAGGGTCCCACATGGCGCACAGACCTCTCCTGCCTCGCCCACTGCTCCCCTCAGCAGTGTGTTTAGTCAGTCTGCCTGTTCTGTTCCCTGCTCTGGCTCTGGTGAATTCTCTCACCCTCCTGCGTTTCTGACTGTACCCAGTGCTTGTATAAATAAACAAATCCTTAAAAATAAACAAACAAATAAATAAATAAATAAATAAAAGAATGGTAATGTGCAATGTAAAAGATCAACAGAGGAAACAAAAAATGCTGGGGGAAGTATGGAAGTAGATAACCAAGTAGAAGATTGAATCAGTGACTGGAGTATGTAAAACACAAAGAATCCAGGTGGGGCCTCCCAGGTGGCGCAGCGGTTGAACACTGGGTTGCGAAGCTGCCCGCAGCCTCTGCAGCACTGGTTCGATCCCCGGCTGCTCCCCGGCCACTGGAGGAGGGTCCCACATGGCGTGCAGATCTCTCCTGCCACCCGCTGCTCCCCTCAGCAATGTACTTCGGTCCTTCTGCCTGCTCTGCTCCCCGCTCTGGCTCTGGTGAATTCTCTCACCCTCCCGCGCTTCTGACTGTACCCAGTGCTTGTATAAATAAAAAAATAAATCTTTAAAAAAAAAAAAATCCAGGTGGAAGAAGAAAGGGTAATAAAAAAAAATTGAACAAGAAATATCTGACTCTATGAGGAAAGGCAATATAAAAAGGGAATTTCAGAAGGGGAAGTGAGGAGGGAACAGAGAACTTACTCAAAGAAATTATAGATGAAAATTTTCCAAACCTGAACAAGTAAATTTACAAGTCCATAAACCTAAAAGAAAACTGGGTTATCTAAATGTAATGAGACCATACCAAGATACATACGGATAAAACTGCCAAGAGTTCCAGACAAAGAATATTGAAGCTGGGTAGGAGGAAGAAGCAGGCATCTTATAAAGATACCTAGATCAGCTTACATAGAATTTCTCTGAAAAACCACGATGGGCAAGGAGAAAATGATGATGTATTTAAAATACTTCAGATTAAAAACTGTCAGCCAAAAAAATATATCCTGCAAGACTCGCCTTCAGATAAGAGGGAGAAATAAGTGTTCTCAAACAAAGCTGAAGGAGTTTGCAAGCACTCGACATCCCTTCCCAGAAATGTTGAAATGTGCTCTAGTATCTAAATTAAAGAACATTGAAAAAAAAAACCTGAAAAAGGAAACAGAACCACCAAACTTAGGAGAAAATAGCAGTAGCAGATCTTCAAATATCCATGATTACCCTAAATGCACATGAACTGATTCACCAATCAAAAGGTGTGGCTTGTTAGATCAGGAACAAAACCAGCTTACCTGAATTCTAAAGATAAACATAGGTTCAAAATAAGGGGCTGGAAAACAATCCTACAAGCAAATAGGACACAAAGAAAGGCTGTGACAGCCATACTTATAACAGATGACATAGATTTCCAGATTAAAAAAGGTTACAAGGGACAGGAATGCATGCTGTGTAATGATTAAGGGAACGATACATCAGGATACTTAACACTCAGTTTATATTCATGACGTGAAGTAGCATCAAAATATATAAGGCAAATATCAAATGTGAAAACAGATACTAGGAAAAACATAATAAAGGTAGGGGACCACAACACCCCATTTTCACCAATGGACAGCTCAAACAGAAAATAAACAAGAAAAGAAGAGCCTTAAACAAAGAATTAGACCACATTAGACCCCCCCAAAAGCTGACTACATATTCTTTAAAGTACACATGAGACATTCTCCAGACAAATCACAAATGCTGGCTCAAAAAACAAGTACCAATAAATGAATAAATTCATGAAAATTTAAATCATGTTAAGTATCTTCTCTGATCACAGTGCTATCAAACTAGAAATCAACCACAAAAATAAATTCTACTCAGTTACTAAAAAAAAAAAAAAAAAAAAAAAGATAAACTTTTGCAAAAGTAAAATAAAAGTAAAAATTGCCAAATCGATTATAGCCGCAGCTATAACACCTCATAAAAGAAAGGCCAGGAATAAATAATTATATCAGCATTGAAATAAAACCCAGTAGAGTTAGCTGCCAACAGAAACTAAGGGAAAAATTTTAATTGAGTTAAGCAGAAGTGAAGCCTTAGAGAGACTAATTATAGAATTCTATATATTAAAGGAAAAGGTACATCAATTCTCTGGACACCAAATACAAAATGAAAATTAAGATTCAAATTTATTGTAAAATCTTAGCTTTATGTAATTTTCCTTACCAGCATTACTTTTAAGTTCATAATTCTTCCAAGGTTATCAATGTAGTAGACGCTATCTTGAAACCATGAATCACAGTGTAGGTAATTATACATTCCAAAAGCGTGCATATGTTCCAGTGTATACTGATCATCTCGAAGTTTTACTTCTGCCACAGCTGAAACAAAAGAAAAAGAAACAAACATCAAGGGTCTTTCCTCAGATGGTTCTTTTCTGCAGAATGCCTATAAGGCAAAGAAATCACAGAATGCTAATTACAAAGGCCTTCAGGACAACTCACTACACTTCATTCAAAATAATTTTTCAAAAAAAATTTCTGGACACTTACTAGGCAGAGGATAAACAATGAAACTGACATGGTTCATGCCCTTATAGAACTTACAGTATAGGCCTCATCAGAGATAAGGCTTTTTCAAGTTATAACCCTCTTTTCTCTCAGGTACCTCTTCCTTGTAATTAGGAATTAAATGAACAGAAATGCTAAAATTGAATGATTTCCTACCTGCTGGGCAAATATTAAGTCTACTTTATTATTTAAGAAAAAAGGTTTTTTAAAATGTTTTACCATTGGGGCCTCCCTGGTGGCACAAGGGGTTAAGCACAGCACTATGCAGCAATCCACAGCTTCTGCAGCATGAGTTTGATCGTCGCCAGCCGGGGAGAAACCCACACGGCACAGCAGACCTCTCCTGTCTTGCCCGCTGCTCCCCTCAGCAGTGTATTTCAGTCAGTCTGCCTGTTCTGCTCCCCGCTCTGTCTCTGGTGAATGCTCTCACCCTCCCATACATCTGGTCTATACCCCAGTTCTTGTATAGATAAGTGGATCTTTAAAAAAAGAACTATTAAAAAATAATGAAAATTATTTATCTCATCATACACTTAATGGAAATAAATATAAACACAAATGGTGACTTCTCCAATGCTATACCACATCTTTCTCAAGAGTACAGAAAATATTATACCTGCAATAGAAACAGTATTTTCTATGTAAAGAACAGTGCTTTTTCCATGAGGGTATACAGCTGCTTCCCCAATTTTACATTTTCCAGCTTTATGGAGATATAAGTGGCATAAAACATTGTATAACTTTAAGGTGTGCAACATAATGATTTGACGTGTATGCACCACACTAAGTTTAGTTATCACATTCATCGCCTCACCTAGTTAAAAAATTTTTTTTCTTGTGAGAATTTTTAAGATCTACTCTTTTAGCTGCTTCCATAATTTTAATCTGTCGAATGTGATTCTTGTTTCTCACTCCTCATGCCTTTCCATGCAGACAGGAACCCGGTGACCTAGAATTAATTTCTGCTCCAACAGAAAACACAGAAGTGGGCTGAGCCAGGTGGAGAGGATGAGGAGACAGGGAGAGGGGGAAGAAGAGAGAGCGAGTGTGTGCATGTTTGTGTAACCTTACACTAACACAAAAAATCACCTTACTGCTTTGGGTCTGATTACAAGTCTTTTCTTCTTTTACCAGAATGTACATGTGTTCCTACAGCTATTACTACCTGGAGTCCTGAGTGACTTTCATTCATTCACTCATTTATTCAGCAAATATTTTAACAGGCAGCAATGATACAATGAACAAAGATACAAAGATACAATGATACAAAGAACACAGAATCTACCCTCTTAGCATTTATGATCCCGATGGGGAAACAGACATATAGTCTATCAAACAATCACATAAAGAAATGATTCATTAAGCTGTGATAAATGTTATGAAAAACAATTCCCTGGCATCATGAGAACAAATAACATTAGGGGTTGATCTACTAGCATGCTAATGAAAGCTTTCCAAAATCTGAACCAAGAAACAAAGGCTAAGGAAGAGTTAATGAAATATATGTACCTATTCTCCCCTCTTCTCTCTCTCCCCCTCACCCCTACCTCCCCCCACCCCCCGCCTCCCTCCTACTTATCACAGGCAGAAGGAAATACAGGCAAAAGTACAAAAGTAGAAAGAAAGACAAGTATTCAGACTGGTTGAAATACAGAGCACTAAGGAGAACTCTACATGGAAAGGCTACAAATAAATGAAGCCAGAGAACTGAGTAAAAGAGCAGGGTCATGATTACTTATACTACAATATGGAAAACATACAGGAGAAAAGCAGGGGTAAACCCAAGATGACCCATTAGAAAGCTAACACAATCCTGGGTAAAGGATGATTAAGGGTTAGAGGTGTTTCAGAAGTAAAATCATCATAGCTCGATGACAGATTTCATACACTGTTATTATATAACTTGAGGAAATGTTTATTTTATAAGAAGCTAGTAGAAATACATATCCCATTGATTAGGAAGGTAAAAATTATTAAGTTCATTTTTTTCACCACTATGTGGGCAAAACGTGATACTGGAGAAAGTGTACTTGGTAACAGAATGGCCCAGAGCAGTAATATTCTTGATACTTGTGTCAAAGACCCCTGGGCAATTCTCAACAAGTCAGAGGCTCCTGAGCCCTGTGCCTTCTTATAACACATTATCTAGGAACATAGGGCTCTGGAAAACCATTGGGTAACTACAGCATAGTCTAAGTCTTTGATAGTTGCATTTTAACAAGATAATTTACGTAAGTTATTATGACACAGAAGTGAGCATAGGGCGCATTACAAACTGTTTTGTAAAAGATGTTAGTACACAGAAAAAGGTTACTTCTCTGGCCCCAAATAAAAAAGGAAAGCTATCAATGCAATAATCATTTTGAGTATGAAAAAGGAAGGCAGAGCAACAAAGAGAAAAACTGTCCAGAATATGACAAACTTAACCATGGGCAGTGCAATTTTGCAGAGCCCTCTGAAGAAAGGAAGTGGAGAGCAAGGAGTCTCAAATCTCTCCTAGGATCTTTAAAGTGGTTGAAGAGGAGGAAATTCTTTATTAGAGGGTTAAGATATATATTAGTATGTAGTAATATTTTATATATTAGTATGTAGTAATATTTTAATTATTTAATATTATATCACATCGGAAATAAGGCATTGCTGAAATCTCCTTATCTGTTAGCCTTTCAAGAAGAACTTAGGCCCCATCAAGGAGAAAGAGTCCCCTAATCTTTACCTTAAATTCTTACAAAGCATGCATGGAACATCAAAACCCAGTAATAGCTTTTCATTCATGAATTATTTATTGCATATTCACTATGTGCCAGACACTCTCCTTGGCATTGGGCAAACACTGGTAAATAAAACAGGCATGATCACTGCAGTACTATGGTTACAAGGATATGTTGTGTCTTTTCAAAATATACTATATCATGCGGAACTATATGGAATTGCCAATATTCAACTCTTCTGACACCAATTATGATTATATAATAATGGAATATTTATTATTTGCTAATATTACTCATTTTCATATGTAAGTAATAGAACACATTATTCAACGATACTTACATAGGCAAAGCACAATAGTCTAAAAAAAAAAAAACGTGGGGACAGAAGCACAAAATATTTACAAAGGTCACTGCTTAGGCTATTATTCATCTTCCAGAATCAAACCAATGAATCCTTTTGCATACTCAATTTGCTATTTATGTACAAAGGGACATTACCAAAAAAAAAAAAAATTACAAGTTTGTATATAGGTTTATCCTGCTATCCATAAGCAGAACATTCATATTTGGTACGACTTGGTAGGTTATTTTTGGAACAGGGAACACTGAAATACTTTGACAAAAATTAATGGTAACAGTGTTCTCAGACTCAAAAAATAACCCACCAAATAGGAACATTCTACTTTCAGACAGCAGGAGAACAGTATGGGTCCTGCAGCAAGATTTATGGAACAGGGAGGACTAGAATTAGAAGCATTGCTCCCACTAAACTATACTATACAATGCAGTTGCACACAGAACAAATTCACTGCCTAGCTTTCCCGTATTTTCCTCCAACAGAGTCAGTGTAAATTTCACAAACTTTACATACATAGATACAATGATTACCTGGCTCTTCTCTCCCTTTACCTCTCCTTGCCCTTAGAAAAAGCCCTAATACCACATAGATTAGAAAAAGCATGAGCTCTAAGGATAGGTGTTGCCATTCACCAGTAGCTTGGTTAAGGTACCTAACCTTTTTATCTGTCTCCTCATCAATAATAAATGTGAATAAATAACACCCAATAAAAGTATTGACAAGCTTAAATTAAAAACATGTCCTTAAGAAAAAGTGCTAATTTCCCTATTTCTCTTTCCTCTTCCAAGGCTAATTCCCACATAGGTGATTATGATTTGACTGACTCTTTGGAATGTTTGAAGTAACTCCCTCAAAGTCAGGAAAGGACAATTTAAAAGGATTAGAGGGAACCTGGTTGGGTACTCACACAAATCTGGGCTGTGACTATTCCTACCAGGCAGACTAGAAAACTCCTAACTCATGGGAGAAGAGCTAGAGTACACAGAAAAGTCTATCTCAATAGTGGGAAATAATTAGCCCTAGACTTGTCTCAGTAATGGAAAATGATTAGCATTGCTTCAGTCTAGCCTAAAAATTACAAAAGCAAGACACAATGGCTTCAGTCTGTTTTCAAGTAAATGAACTTCATCCCACAACAAAGATCATGAAGATTTGTAAGAATATAAAACGTCCTCCACCCAACAAGGTAAAATTCACAATATGTGGCTTCCAGTCAAATATTACCAGACATTCAGAGAAAACAACCCATTAGAATAGAATAACCAATCAATAGATGCTCAACACGTAACTGGCACAGAAGTTATAATTAGTAGATCATAACAGTAAAACAGTTGTTAAAGTACATTCCATATATTCAAAATGTTGAGATATGAAAGATGTAAAAATGATTTAAACCAAACTTCTAGAGATGCAAACTATAATACTTATGGTGAAAAATATACTGAGTGGGAATTAATGACTGATTAGATATTACAAAAGACTAGTGAAATTAAAGGCATTAAAATAGAAACTATTGGGCCTCCCTGGTGGCGCAGCGGGTTGAGCGCAGCGCTGTGAAGCTGTCTGCAGCCTCTGCAGCTCCAGTTCGAGTTCCAGCGGCCAGGGAGATACCCACATGGCGTGGCAGACCTCTCCTGTCTCTCCCGCTGCTCCCCTCAGCAGTGTATTTTGGTCCTTCTGCCTGTTCTGCTCCCTGCTCTGTCTTTGGTGAATTCTCTCACCCTCCCACACATCTGGCCTGT